AGTACATATGTTGTTACACAAACAAATTAGAACCAATTGCAATCAAACTATTAAATTACTAGAAAACATAGTCGACATCTTGAAGATGCATGAAGTAATAAAAATATGGAACATTCAAAATATAAAACGACTAGAAAAAAGTATGCTCTGGCTCAGGTTAAAAAGACTGAAATATGTCAATTAATAATTACTAGTGCACCAACTAACTGGTGCCTCTCTATCTACAATTTAAAAACTAAAAAACATTTTTACATTGAAGATGAAGAGGCACCTGCTAGTTTACCTCTTAGATTCTGGGATATGTAACCTCTGGCATGCAATGCATTCATTCGTCTCTTTTGGATACCCTTGGCCCACGTGCTGCAAAATAATTTCACTGCCATATCCATAAGAAACTGGGAATGAGTGCCTGTGAAGCGCTCACCACACACTGCATCCCATCGGAACATACCATCCACATCTTCAGAAATATTTTGAAGGACAACCTTGGCATCAAGAGAACCATCAGGCTGTTCTGCTGATTTGGCTACCTCTGCCACATAGAGGAAAAATGTCAGAGCACTCTCTGACACATACAACAGGCTTCCCCGGTCCTGAGCTAGGGTCCACCTCTCCAGGTCTGCATGGGGGCCAGTTAAATCATCCTTTAAAAATTGAAGCTGTATCGCCTCAATAACTTCACACCACCTGCCGCCATTCCTACGGCTCAGAGGAAAGAGAGGCCTTAAGATTCTACGTATCACTGAGCCAGAGACGTAATGGACACACTGCTTAAGATATATCTGAGCACCAGGTGATATTGAAACAGGTGCCCTCGGCCTAATACCCATATTCTCGTATATAGATAATTTTATAGATTTAACTACAAATGCCACAACTTTAATCAGTAACTTCCTAGTGAAATCTGTACAAAAAATAACTTTAAGTCTATAATGTGTAACATCTACATCCTCAAAAATTAAATTATCCACCATTTCAAAAAAAGTATCGGAAATTAAAAATCTGCTGCACCCAGACAAAAAATTACTATACAAAACTGAGGGAAGTGGCACATCCATCTTGTCTGACCTGGGAGAATAACGACCACTAGGTATGCACTGACAGATGTTCCTAGTACACACATTAATAAAGGATACAAAATTTTCATTCTTCTGCTTCTTGATGAAGTCCTGAGTTATTCCGAGCAGCTGGGGCTCAGAACCATGGCTAGACAGGTTTCTAACCATCTCTTCAAGGACTTCTGCAGCCAAAACCACCGAGTTGTTCAACACGCTCTCAGCTGTGGGAAGTCCCTCAGTCAATCCATCTGGAAAACACCACACATTCCATCATCTCCCTCATACTGATAGCACTTGACCATCACAATACATGGATGCTTGAAGTTTGAAAGTGACTTACCTTCCATCTTGTGCACACTTTGATGACGTTCGACGCCTTCCAAAGAGTTGTATCCTCTGTTGCAACGCGGACAGTGGACCTTGGGCTTTTCGGGCTTGTCTGACACATTCTTCTTCCCCTTGGACGAACTCTTCCTCTTCTTCGTCGGGGGAGGGGCAGCGGGGGCAGGGGGGGCAGAGGGGGCAGCCGCGCCAGAGGGAGTGCCAACGCCTGCCGCCCTCAGGAACTCCTCCTCACAACCCAAACTCGGTGGTACCGCATAATCCCACTCGGAATCAAATTCAGCTTGTAAATCATCGTCCTCTAGCATAGCTCTAAGTTCCTCCTCATCAAAACCAGCACGCACTTCACTACACATCTCACAACAAACGACAAGCACGACACGACAACGACGACTCCGATAGCTCTCACTCAGTGCTGGGACTTGACTGACTGAGTGAGCCCCCTACTCATCCATTCCCTCGCCCTTTCAGGTGCCCTCCCCTCCCCTGCCCTGTCCGGGGATGGGGGACACTTCGCGAAACCCCTATCCTGGGCCCCGGTCCCACGGTCCGAGAATATGGCCTGGTGCGTCAGCTGGACCTAACGGGCCTCGACCGACCCCTCCTCGTCGTCCTGTCATTGTTTCCATCGATGCAGCCTCCTCGCCAGACACCCCCTATAGCAGTGTCGCGACGGGGATTAGCAGGTGATTCAGGCACCCGGTACTGCGGCCGTCCTCGACCTGCTCGTTGACCCTCCCGGGTCCACCCCGTCCACCTGTGGGCAGCCTGGCCAGCCTCCTAATCCCCACCTCCAATAAAGTCCCCGGCCGCCGCCCTATTGTTTCATTAGCAGCGCAGCGGCCGGGGCTGGGGTGGGGGAGGTGGGGGAGGCTGCCCTTCTATCTCTAAGAACTGGGCCGAGCAAGCCGAGGGGCCATATGTATGGTGCGGGGGAGGGAGAGGGTGATACCCAAGTACCTGGAAGTGGACAGCCGGGGCGAGCGAGCAAGCTGCAGCCTGCTTGGCAGCTTAGCAATGGCAGTGTTGCCGTTGAACCTCCCCTTACCCCTCCGCCTCCACCATTTACCCATGTTGCACCAAAATTATGACTCAAAACTTGTTCAGGGGTTGTTAGAAGTCAAGTCTCGGCGGTCTGGGCATCTCCACGTTTCAAATGTACCGCGCTGGCGGTCGCGCCGACAGTGGCGCACTAGCGGCGACAGCTGGAACCCTTGACTCTTATCAGACATCGGCATACGGCCGGCCCAGCAACCGCTCCTTCAGTAATCCTCGCTAGGTGGAAGTTAGAAAATGGAGTCAAATCATGGAAGTGGAACTTAGGGATATCATTACAGTGTTCGGTGGGATTTTTCATCTTCTGCAGTTCTTCT